CTCAGTTTAATTTCGATTAAACAGCTCCAATTACTTTTACGAATTATCAACTCGTTATGCTTTTGGTCAAATGTGAGAATGCGCGGCACCCATTTAAAATAAAAAAGCTTTTTTCTATTCAAATCATCGTGAACGATATGTCTATCACGTTCAATTGATATCTTTAGGGTGTCAGCTGTCTCAGGCAATTTTAGTTTTCTGTTTTCCAAAACGTTTCGGTGGACTTTTTTGATATTTTACGGTGTAACCACCTCAATTGGCCTTCCAGAGCGTTCAGCATTTTCTGTATGGCGACGATTAAAATCAGCAAACCAATTTTTCACCATCTATCTCGATTTGGAATAGTCCAGGTAACACTTATCAAGCCATACTTTAACAGCAATGGTATTTTTACTCATCAAAAAACAATGATGAATCAACCTACGAAATTGCTTTGAATGCATGGTTTCGAAAAACTCAAAAGTAGCATTACTTGAACCTCTGTAACTTGTAAACTAATCGTCGAATTGTCATAAAATTTTGACATATATCTTTTATTGTTGCTTCCTTTAAAATCGTGTGGATGTTTTTTTTTTTTTTTTTTTAATTTTTATTTTCAATAGCAATCAGAATACATGACTATTCTATGAGCTATTTGGCTTATGTCATTCACTCACACACATACACACACACTTGCAAACACCTTATAAATTTATCGGACCAATATTACAATCATATTTAGAGAATCACTTCAATAAATGATTCAATTATTCTGTTCATATAAGTTGTGGTAGTTCTAAGATTCCTCCATATTATCTTCGGGCAGCTTCTTCTTCAGTCTTCTTGAAGTTGATGTCTCAAGAAGCTGAGTGACTATATGGTTTGAATGATGTTGTAGTTTTTGAAAATGTTTTATACTGTTGATTTGTATTATTTTGTTTTTAAAATCAATATGAAGATCGTCGTGTAAAGTTTTATTACTAACAAACCACGGAGCATCAGTAATCTGCCTCAATATTTTCGATTGGGCACGTTGCATTAACGCTATGTTGGATTTGCTTGCACAGTTCCACAATTCAATGCCATAAGTCCATATGGGTTTTATTATTGCCTTGTAAATTAGAAGTTTATTGTCAATCGATAAAATTGACTTGCGTCCCAGTAGCCAGTATAGTTCAGCGGTTCTAATTTTATAGTCTTTATTTGGCGCGAATATGGTCCTTCCACGTGAGCCTTGCGATCTAAATGCATACCTAAGTATTTGACGCATTCGGTGCTTGGAATTGCTTGGCCATAAAAATGTACTCCTGGGCATGTTGTCTTGTTCAGTGTAAATGTTATATGATTAGACTTGCTCTCATTTATTTTTATTCTCCATTTTTTGTCCAATCCTCTATAACATTTAGATGCCTTTGTAAAATTAGCGAAGCCTTAGATGCATCAGCATGTGTCGAAAGAATTGCTATGTCGTCAGCAAATGTGGATGATTACGTCGCTACATCATCTATGTGTTGTCCTACGGACTTTTTAGTGATGGTATATGTTTAGGCAATTATCCACATGAAATATATGCTTACTATCCAAATTGTTGATCAGCTCTCTGTCTAAAATTTACAAGCGAGATGGTCCCGTCATGGCGTCACGCCGTGACCTATCACACGCTCTATTCGCTCTCTATCTTTCCTATTTATTTATTTATCGCTCACTCCTGCATCTATTCTACACAGTACACACACGGGAACAAAAAACCCATCCAGAAGACTGTGCGAAAATCATATTTCGCTGCAGGTTATTTGATACCTGTATCGATGTTTGGAATAATTAGAAGCTATCGTATGAATAGTGAGAATGGACTCATAGAAATTATTTTTGAGAAAAGTGATGTTTATTTAAAATTGCTGCTTGAAAATTAATCACATATGATTTAGCGAAGGGCTAGCTCAAATCGTAGAAATGGGTAAATGTGAACTAAATTAAATAGAAATCATCTTGGTTCACATTTAGGTTTTTATACTTTCCAGTTTTTTACGTATTTTATGTAATTTGTATTTGCACGTATAAATACTCAGTATAATTGAAGGGTTCACTAAAATATTAGGAAATAAGATTTTTGAATTGGGACACCGAAAATCCATTTCAAAAGTTGGTTGTGACAACATGTTAACATAATAGAAGCCGATTATATCATAAAATAGAGCAATGTTATGGCAAGGCTATTGTACGTAGCACTTCTCATACAAAATGGTACTAACAATGTCAAAATGCCATGTATTTGCAGTTCGTTCAGGCGTGTTACACATAATATGAAACTTCACTCATCTTCACTAATTTACATACTTTCATAATGAATTAAGTTTAGATCTATCATTGTTTGAAAACAGATATTGAAAATAAATTGACTAATAGTTTACCGTAATATACTTTGAAAATCAAACAACTTACATTTCTTTCAAAAATATTATATTGCTATTTATATTTATATTACTATTTTAAAGCCCGTTTGAGTTATTTAGATTTATATTATTTTATATGATTATTTTGTTCCCGAAAGAAAAGCTTATTTTCCCTGCTAATTTTATGTAAATATTGAGATATTTCAAACGTGTATATGTGCATTTTATCCATTATTGACATTTTTAGTCTATGTTTTCTTAAATTTTTTGACAAATTTTTCCTAATGGCCTACGATAAGTGGTTTATTTGTAAAAATACACTAAAGTTATCATGATGAATTGCGCTCTTAGGACATATAACGTATCAATGAAAAACCCAAAACTTTATTTTTGACTACAAATATAAGAATTTCTTAAAGCTCAATTCTTATTGGTTAAGTTGATTATTTACACATATTGATAGAGTTAAAGTTCTTTTAACATTTAAACATTTTTCAATATAAAAACATTATCAAAAATATTATGCTAATGAATGAAATAAAGAATTTTGTTGTTTATATTTTGAATATAGAAATAAGTTTGAAGTAGTGGTTTCAACAAGCAATTTATTTAAACTTATGATCACATTTCTTATATTTAATAGTGATTTTAATATTTCATAGAAAATTATTACCCGCTTGCTTCCACACACAGATTTATACGGATTCTTATACTTATGTTATATTATTACGCTATACTACATGTTCATCTAGAAACTTTCATATTCTTTTTTATTAGATTTCACTACATTTTCAAAATTATTATAATAAAATACACGAAAATCATTACCTGTAGTTATATTATTTTTTCGTGTACTATTGTGTAACAGATATGAAAATTTTTGATGCAATTCATTCCGCTAACGTAAACCAATATGTGATAAATAATTTAATATAGAAAATTGTCATTATATATATATATATATATATATATATATAAATATATATATATATATATATATTATTTATGTATTTATATGGTTTTATGCCTATGTATGCATATGTCAGCATAGTGTTTATGTTTATGGCGGTATATCCATTAGATAGGTGTCTTAAAATGATTTTAGAAAGTATGTCTGCATTAAATGCAGATGCGTTCTAAATGATATATGGCTGTTACAAATGTACATAATATTTTTTACATATACATACACATGTGCACATACATATATATGTTGTACATACATATATTGATATATGCACATGCAAATACACACACACGAATATAACCATAACTATTGAGCAATAATTTATTATTTATTATTTGTTTCAGTTCGCAGAACTAATTTACGATCTCCACCACCTTTACTAGCTGCGCCAATTAAGCACAAACGCAGGTATTATTCAAAAATTCAAATGCATCAAGTAAAGCAATAAATGCTTTAAAACTTTAATTGCTTTACATGAACGCTTAAAGGAACTAAGATACTGAATCACGTAATGATATAATTTGCGTTTATTTCTCTTTCAATATTGCAAGCGTCTTATTAATTCATTACTCTTATTATTACTTGTATCTTTCTTTGTTAATGTTCATGTGTAATTAAGTTTTTTTTTGTTTTTTTTCAGCAATGATGCGCTCTGCTTGTCTACTAAATCCATTGCAGTTGTGCATAAGCGATTACTCGATTTACAAAACAATAAACAATTATCATCAGTACAAGAACTTCGGAATTTCGGTAAATAACACGACATAAAAGTTGAATCAGTGGATAATCAGAAGGAACTTCCTGAAAATATCAGGTCTGACTTCACTAAATCAACTCGAGAAAACTGTCACGAATCTGTGATAATATTAGTGACAAGCAACATTTTAAGGAAATAGTAGATGATAATCAATCTTTAACAAAGACAAAACACGACTAGATAATCCGCCACAAAATGAGGATAAGAACGAACTTACGAGAGTTTACTCAAATCATCCTTTTACAGAAAAGTATGCAAAAACTTTTAAGGAGCCTTGTGAACCTATCTTGCCAAATGATACAATAAGTTCAGGCCGTACAGAAACGATGTAGATGGCAAAGGAAATGTTGTATTTTCACAAGTACCTGAACTTTTTCTGCATCCAGGATTTGCATGTCAAAAAATGTCACATGCGATTTAGATTTTTTTTTTTTCCAAATATTCGAACGATTTACCCCAACTTCTGATCTTAGTTTTTCGCATAAAAAACTTTCAAACTCTAAAATAAAACGTTGAAACTTTAACTGATCTCTCACTAATGTACGAAAAATTAAACAGATGGTTGTTGAAAGTGATAAAGAACCTCCAAGTCTAATGTTAATTCAGTAGATTGTAGTTCTGTGACTTATCGGCCTTATGATAAGTCACAACAAGTTGCTCAACTTTCGAAGTTGACAGATGAATTTAAACGGGTCTTGACACAAACGCTAGTAATTCTCACAAAATTTAATGCAAAAATCATTGTTGGCTAAATTGGACTACGCCAAATAGCCACGAACCAAATTTAGCATCGTTGTCTCAAAATTTGAATCCGATCTGCAGCCGAGCCACATTCCTCGTATAAAATTATGGCACAAAGCACCAATTGAGAACACTTTCTGTAGATTCTGACAACAGTGCATCCATGATCAACTCACAAAACTCGGAACAAGTTCTTCAATTTGGACAAAAATGCTGGCAAAAAATCAAAACCAGTTTGAAGGATCAACCACATCTTGAAGAAGTCAATGATAAAGAATTGAAACTAGTGAATTTGGAAAAACAAAATCTGCTTAATTTTGTAAATAATAACAATAATAATATTAACAATGGAATAAAGCTAGAAAGGCTCACAAATGCGATGTCGAAGGTTGCGATAAGGTCTACACCAAGAGTTCGCACCTGAAAGCTCATAAACGGACACATACAGGTAGCAGCAAATAGATTAATCTTTTTTATAATTTACAGCTATCAGAATTTAAGATTTTTATAAGATGTTGATGATTTGATGTCGATTTTCATAGGTGGCAACCCAAACAATTACCTCATTTCTAGATTATGAATTTTCATAAAGAATTGAAGTAAAACTTCTTTAGGCGCGACTAGGGTGTAAATCCGTAGAAATGCAACGGAAGTGCGTTACGGCGGATAAGATAAGAGTCGAGTACCAATGATTCGTCATTTCTATACGGGTCTATTTGTGATATGTGAATAGAGATCTGTAGTTGTATGCGCACCGGCATCAACGTTGTATGCGTACCGATATCTACAAGGAAATCGGTATAAATAAATAAACATTTAAAGTTACATCGTAGTATAAATCTTGATATAATGAAAAATACCTGAATCAGAAGAATATTTTACCCTGTTCCTTGAAAACATGGATTAGTAAGTTTATTGATTAGAAATAATTTCTTTATTATTATTATTCGTAGTTTCTATAAATTTTTAAAGTTATTGAAATGGAAAATATTTTTAGGCAAAACAGATTTTACAGCTGTTCTAAGAATGAGATTATATCGCTAGCGAAAAAGTAAAACAGATACAAACAGTCAATGAATGTATGTTAATTTTAATTACATGAAGTTCTTCAAACACAGTTACATGATGAGTGAAGTTTAACATAATCCACTGTATGAACGAATATTATAGAAGTTTTAATCAGCAATTACTTCATTTCTCTAATGAATGTTCATTTTTAAATGCTAATTGCAATGACAAACCGATCATGTCATATTTGAAGTATGACTTTAATAACATTATTGTTTTTAAATATTATACATATTTTTAATGCTATTATAAATATATAATTTATAATTTATTATTATTTAAATGTTTATAATGGTTGACACTAATAAATGCGTGCATCACGAGTGTTACCATATTATTAATTAACATTATTCAAAATTGTTATATGATGTATTTATTTTTACTTAAATGCCATCTTGTACAGTAGCAAATAAGTTTTACTTCAATCGCGTGTGTACCTTACACGCACTCTTTTTTTATTGATGTGCGTAAAGACATTTTTACTTGAAAACACATTGATTTTTTTATTCCTAAGTGAAAACTGATGTCACTACTGTATGAACATCAGTTTGCTCGAGGCAGCTTTGAAACCTTGTGCTTCTGATTCAATCCCATAGCTCTAACCACTTACCAACGGGTAAGCCCGCAAGTTTATCATGTCTAGAATTTTAAATAATTATTTACATCTCGTCGCCCATCAATATTGACACTTTATCGCCGCTTGCGGTTGGTGTAGCCATTCACTAAGTTCCGGTTTAGTTAACGATTTAGTGATAGGTGAGCGTTGGTAATCGTAAAAGACGATTAATAAGCCAGCATCCGATGAGCGTTGGCAAATGAGAATCCGATTTATAGGCAAGAGTTTGATAAAGTATTAATGGGAACAGCACTGTACAAACAGTAATAAAATACCATTTACCATCTTTAATTCGAAAGGCAATATTTTTGAAAAAATATGTGAAAACAAATTGTTATAATAGACTCATATTATATTCTAGGAGAGCTAAATTAAGGTAACCATGTTTTTCAATGCAACATGAGCATCCTTTACGTATATATTATTTTCAAATATTTGATAGCTTGTTTTAGCAAGTTTTATTAATGGTATTAAATAATAGCGAAGTTTCAATTTTATCCCATTATTTTCAAAAATTTATAACAATCCCGGCCTATCTGGGACAAAAAATCTAAATCAGGGACCAATATTGCCTCAGGAGTGTCCTGGTAAGTCAATTGTATGGTCAATTTAGTTAAAAACGTGGGGTGAAGTCTTAAGTTCTGCAGACAACGTGGTTACGACTATTGACTATATTGACAGTTTGTTTAATATTGCTGTTGGGCGTGTATTCAAAGTGTGGATAAAAAGGCAAACTAATTTTATTGTAATCGGCAATTTTGTACTGTCATAAAACAGAATCACATCGAATTTGGTATCAAAAATAGTGTCAAACACAAGTTTCACTGTCGATGCTTTTGTCCATAAAAACAGTAAAAGAGTTCGTTCAGAAACATAGTCAATTTACGATAAAAAGTATCAAAAAATGTTGGCATATCAAGATAATGGTTTTTCAAGTTTCTCTGATATTTTATGTATATGAGGTATAAGATGTGACTATTTTTTTAACATTGTTTATGGTAATCATCAGTGACTACTTTCCGTTAGCTTAAAAGGTCAAGTTTGGTTCTTTTAGGTACAATTAAAAGCGCACTAATTCATAAATAATTATTTCTATATTTCGATAAAATTTTGCACTTATACTTTACGAGATAAACTTACTATCATTGTCTCGATGCTTTAAATTTTGCTGTGATATTTATATTTTTCTTATGAAGGTATCCCGCATTACATCCCGCATGTTTTCATTTGAAGGCTATTTCACGACGAATGTGCAACTCTCAAAGATTTCTGTAATAGGGGATATGCGGACAAAATGTATATATGGACATAATCACTCAGTGGTCTTATATAAAATTTGTCTGTTTTTGGTAACGTTTTTGCGACTGCGTAACGTTAAGAAAGCCCAAATCACAATCCTGCCAGATGTTGAGCGTCATTGTCACAGTCTTGTCGTAGTAATCAGTTCAATCAGTGCCTTCAAAAGTTTATTCTGAAGGTGGCTTCATCACATTTTTGGGACTCATTTATTGTTATTTGTAGTTGTTTCTATTAAAATTTATGAATTATTACTAGTACTAGTCATTTGAAATGATTTGTCCATTAATCGACATTTCATCAAGCATCTGATAATTGCAACGACATCCAATGAGTCCTTCGATCCATTTCATTGCAATTATCAGGTGCTTGATGAAATGTTGATTAATGGACAGAACATCATAGTACCATTTCACTACAGTGTACTATATTCAAGACCAAAAAAAAAAGAAAATTGAAATTTGTCAAAAGTTGGTTTTTAACTTCTACTCTAACTACTTCTAAAAACAAATCAAAGGATCCGTCGTTACAAAGAAAAGGCTTGCGTTTATTGCAAAATCTTCTTTTCCAACACACTTATGTGCTGATTTCCAAAATAAAACACGACTTATTTGTGAACTGCTTTTTTAAAAATTAGCATCTATGTATGTCCTTATCCTATATGTCATTTTGTTCGTACCAAATGGACATTTTTTTTATTTTTAGTTGTATTTTTTATCAATATGTTATTACAATTCCTACTTGATTAAATTACTATGTTACTGGTGGACAATGGACCTGAGATGAGTAAAAATATTTTAGACTGATTAAAAAAAAATGTGCGTAAGGTTCACATGCGATTGAAGTAAAACTTATTTGCTACTGTACGAAGTAGGAAATTTAAATTAAGTAAAAATAAACACATCATATAACAATTTTAAATAATGTTTATTAGTAATATGATAACACTTCTAATGCACACATTTATTAGTGTCAACCATTATACACATTTATATAATGATAAATTATAAAATACATATTTATAATAGCATTAAAAATATGTATAATATTTAAAAACAATAATGTAATTAAAGTCATACTTCAAATATGACATGATCGGTTTGTCATTGTAATTAGCCTTTAAAAATGAACCTTCATTAGAGAAATAAAATAATTGCTGATTAATAAATTCTATAATATTTGTTCACACAGTGGATTATGTTAAATAACGTCTAAACAAATATTATTTTTGCAACTTCACTCACTTGCAATTGTGTTCGAAGAACTTCATGTAATTAAAATTAACATACATTCATTGGATGCTTGTTTTTTTTTACTTTTTCGCAGGCGATATAACCTCATTCTTTGAACAGCTGTAACATCTGCCTTGCTAAAAAAATATGTTCCATTTTAATAACTTCAAAGATTTATAGAAACTACGAATAAGATAGAAATAATTTCTAATCAATAAACTTACGTTTAGTACACGGCACAAATGTTTAATTTATTTTATTATTTTCAAGGTACTGGGTAAAATATTCTTCTTATTTAGGCATTTTCCATTAAATCAAGATTTGTACTACGATGTAACTTTAAAATGTTTATTTATTTATCAATGCCAATTTCTTCGTTGATATCGGTACGCATACAACGACAAATCTCTATTCACATACACGACGACTAATCACAATCGACCCGTATTGAAATGATTTCATCGAGAGCGTATGGCGTACAGTTCGGGCGTAACGCTATTTCCGTTGCATTTGTACAGATTTACACCATAGTCGTGCCTAAAGAAGTTTTACTTCAACAAAACTCGATTTAGGGCATACAAATGACTTCTAGCAAAATAGATTACTATAAAGTAAAATTATCTTCTAATTAAGTTTCTAGGATGTGATGTCGTCCTTTCATTCAATTCGGTTAGACTTTGGTATGAAATAAATTTTATTCCATGAGAACCTTCTGGTTGTGAATTTCTCAAGATCAATGGGTCATTATCGGTTCCAATTGCAAAGCATTTTTCTCTCATCCCATAAATCAATCGACGTTATATTTCTAAAATGATTATTTTTTTAATATTTTCTTCCAGGTGAAAAACCTTATGTTTGTACCTGGGCGGGATGCGGGTGGAGGTTTGCCAGGTCAGATGAATTGACGAGACATCATCGCAAGCATACTGGCCTGAAACCATTTGCCTGCAGGTTGTGTCAGAGGAGGTTTAGTAGATCCGACCATTTGTCTCTTCATATGCGAAGACATTGAAATTTTATTAGAGCAAACTAACAAATAGTAAATTAAATTGAAACAATACTGACTAACGGGGAAATTGCAAAAATCGAAAAGTCCAATTATTATCAAAACAGAGCGATTGAATTTTTTTATTTTAGGTAAGCGGTTTTATTAATTGTTCAGTGATTTAAACTTAAATTAGGTAAGAATCTCGGATTTCGTGATACCCAGCTGTAAGTCTGTAAATACTTGTATATTGACACCATAAAGTCGTCTCAAAACCTACATATGGTATTGACACCCTACCATATGTAGGTTTTGAGACAACTTTAGGATGTCAATATACAAGTATTTACAGACTTACAGCTGGGTATCACGAATTCCGAGGTGAACTTACTATAATGACTGGACTATAACGTTTCCAAGAACAGTAGATTTTGAAAGTTTCGAAATTCAATTGAAGCCATCTAACAAGGAGAACCTCCCTTCTTCTGGGATTTTGATGAAACTTTGCATGGTGATAAGGTTGATAGTCAAACAGAACAGATTTAAAAATTATTGTTATATGAGAAGTGGATTAATTATAAAAAAATGATCAAAGTTTTGGAAAATAGAATAGATGAATTAATATCTTTGTTGCTCTCGGATTCATAGATAAGAGAGTTAAGGGGCACAACTAGTGTAACCGCCTTAAAAAAAGGTGGTTTTTGGGAATTTATATTAAGAAAACTACTTTATCAATCATTTCAAAATTTTAGGAATATATTTATACACGTTTTAAGAATACATAGTAAAATTTTTGAAGAAAATAATTAAATATTTTTTAAGCTATCGTCGATCTCCAACGACGTCACAAAAAAAGGCCTTTCACTGCTGCAGTGATTCCGGCCTTCTACGTGGATGAAATTTAAAAAAAAAATCTCGTTAAACTAGATCATATTGTCTGTAAAATGAACTACGGTAAAGAAAAAAATAAAAAAATGACAAAATGACGGCGTTTTTTTTAAAAAAAGTTGAATTTTACCCAAAATTTTGGTCGTTTTTGGACTGCCAAAATTCGATTTTTGATCCGATCAAAAAATCGATAGTTCATTTTACGGAGAACTATATATTGAACATGTAAAAAAATTTGATAGTGATCGGATCATTTGTTTTTGAGTAATCGCTGCAGCAAATTCGGAAAATGCAGTTTCGAGAAAAACGCGTTTAAAGATAAAATGATCGTTATACTATATAGTATATACTATATATATTCTCTTCAAATAGCTGTGACTCAAAAACTATTTAAGATATCGATTTAAAATTTTGGTATGTTATCTTTAAAGGTATAATCTATCGAAATATGGAAAAATTGAAAATTCGATTTTTTGAAAATTTCACACTAGTTTGTTTCCCATGATCATCAAACGAAGTTTCATCAAAATCCCAGAACATTAAACCTGAGTTTCTCCTTACTTAGTTGCCCATCTGATAGTTAGTGTTGTTTCAATCTACTTTTTGGATGCTAAAACTAAGACGCATTTATAAAATTTAAATGCAGGTGTTTTATTTGTACCATCAATTCAGATTTAAATCCATGCTTGTGATAAAATTGTCGCTAATCATCCCACCTGTCGTAAAATCAAATCAGGCCGATTTATCGGTCGAGAGATAATTTTATCGTTAGCCTGAAGACTAATTGATACGTTTATATAAAACCGCTTTTTATAAATTTTTCGTATGCCAGTATTTTTATACCTGCATAAGTGTTTCTTGTCAACTTCAAATATTTCGTTAACCTTGGCATAAACATTCAAATTTTATGAATGCGTTTTAATGATTTTACATTACTACTCTCACCATTAGAGGCATTACAGTTCTTGTATGGAAATACAATTGTAAATTGTTTAAGTACAAGCACAAATCACTCATTCAGATCACAACATAATCAATGAAGTATTTTTTAACAATTTTTTATTTCATTTAGGCAAATTATTAAATTTTGTTTTGATCTAGATTTGTGATAGAAATAACTTCGGCTTTTACATGAGATGATAAAATGATTTGTAACTCAAAGCATACGTGGTTTTTCTGAATTATTTTCCTGGTGAAAAATCGATAGTATGTCTAGAGTTAACAATTGTTTTATTACCTTCTTTTAAGGTCGACATAATATTTTAGAAATTTATTTCCGATATAGATCTCACGAAGGAAAACTTTTAAATTAATTTTATAGGGCATGTAGAATAAACTATATATAATAAATATATATTTATAGTGCTGAAAAGGCCAGTTAACGTCTTCCATTTAAATAATATGTGCATAAATGCACTAATTACGTAGAGAAAATACATTCATCGAGGTGGCTGCAGAAAATTTTTGGGCACACATATATTAATTTCTTGAAATTATTATAGGAAACTTGTAGAAACATATTTGTTTTTTTACTTCTGTTTTATTACTTCGGATCATCACTAATTTTTATTCTCGACATATTTTGAATAAAACGATTGAATATTTAAGTACTTTTTGCTATCTTATACAAAATTTCTTGTAAAATCACCTGATTAACTTTTCTTAAGATATAGGGTGCACTAGGTAGGGTTGTGCTTCTTTTTTCTACCAGCAATAATTTTATTCATTTACCAGTTAGCTGAGAGAAAAGTAAATTGACCACATGGAAATATTGCCCTTAAATGCGATTTGTCAAAAAATTAAATAAAAAAAATAAAAAATTAGATAATAAATAAAGATTAGACAAAAAAGGGCGAGTGTCACAACCGTCCACACCCACAGGACTAAAACTAAAAACTAGTTATAAATACTAAATTGGTTTATTACGATTTTTATTAACACAACACAACATAATTTGGACATAAAAGGTACTATCTAAAATTTTTGAAGTAAAACTTTTTTAGAATAAATTTTGACATTGTAATAATATTGCAATTTGTATATAACGTTTTTATTGCAATATAATCATTTTGTTGTGAAAATTGTTTTCTACTCATCGAGACCTTTCAAACGATACCCCATATGCCATAAAAGGTACTATGTAAAAAATTTGAAGTAAAACTTCTTTAGACTCTTCTGATACAATTTGCTAAAATAGTACAGTTTGTGGATACAAATTACATAAAAAAGTTTTACACCTCTAGTATTAAGAAAAAAACTAGAAATTTTGACATTCTAATATTTTTTGCAATGTGTATATAACGTTTTCTTTACAATATAATCATTTTGTTGTGAAAATTGTTTTCTGCTCATCGAGACCTTTTAAACGATACCCCATATGCCATAAAAGATACTATGTTTGACGGGTTTGAATTTTTGAAGTAAAACTTCTTTAGACTCTTGGCTTACAAAGACTTTTAGCTACAAATTTGTAAAAAGTGTATATTTTGTGGACAAATCACTACCTGGTTGAATTAACATCTCAATTCTAAAAAAAAGCTTCTGAATATTACATGAGAATACATTTTTTTAAATTTTATATGGCCTCGCTTACCCTGAGCCAACTACAACCATTTATTTATTTACATTCTATACTGGTATTTTTCTATCATATACAAATCTATATATAAATATATATATATCCTATAAAATATAATACCTCTTAATATTTCTTCAATTTCTTTCAATTATTTTCTTGAATTTGTCTTCTAATACATCTCAGCTATTCGAATTCATTTCTATTTTTACTCCTGATTTTTATTCAAATTCTACTTAACAAATCCAATTCTAATTAATTTTAAATTACTATATTTTTTTCGTGAATTCTAAGTCAATGACAGGATTCGATCCAAAGATCCCTGTGTGAGTCGAAGTACTAAGCTCGCCACGTAATAATACATTACAAAATACATGTTTTGAGCAAAATAACAAAAAAAAAAGTGATCTATATATATTTCCAATAATAATTATTGTAAGAATTCGAACAAAAACATTTTTGACTCTTTAAAAGACTTGCTGTCTACAGATCATGTTGATGTAAGGCACTGATTCAATGCAATAACGGAAACTTGTTCGAACAAACATACTTATAATTTTTCCCATTGGACCCTATCTCAAAATCAGTATAATCCTATTATTTCTATACTTCTTAACTTATCTCATTCTTTTTTCTTCTTCTTTACTATCTTCTCATTTCTTCTTCTCATTTCAATTCATTTTAATTCTAATTCTCTAATTTTTATACATTTTGATTATTTTACATACATATTTTTTATTACAAATTATATTATAATTTCAAATTAACTACTGAATATTTTTCAATTTCTTGCCGGATATTCGAACTCAGAACCTCCAGCGTGTGAATCGGCCACAAAATAAAAGTTAAAAATATATTTAATTATTTTTATAAATTTGCAATTAAACAGTAACACGTGGAATAAATATTATTGATACAACAAGATTGAAAATTAAAAAAAATACAAGGAAAACAATGAATATAAATAAAATTGTATATAAGCGATATATAAATTTGACATCTACTTGCAGAAGTAATCTCATATTCAAATGCTGATAAATATGAATTTCAACATTTTTATTAACATTAACATTATCATCTTGGTATTAAGTTTTTAAATCAAATAATACTTGTTGTTGTCATTGGTTTTTGTTCATCAAGTGTTCGATAACATTTTATTAAGTTTTCATATACTTTCCAATGTGTGCTCAGAAATTTACCCCCAGCGCCTCTACTATGACATATATGTAAATCTATACGAAACTTATAATGTATGTATGAATGTATACATTATAATGCGTTATGTTAATTATCTAAATAGTTAATGGTGGCAAGTGCAATATTTTAGTGTGGTTACCTAACATGGTTTATTTTATATGTATTTTAATTTATCGTTTCAATAGTATAATATAATGATTGCCAGTATATGTATATAAGGTTTCACGTTGAGGGCATAGTGAAAATAATAATATGTAAAAGACTCATCAGCCAACTTTTTTTGAAGTAATTAAAATTATTTTGATATATGGATTAAGGGGTTATACCCATACATTTAAATTTTGCTAATTTTTTTAATATCCTATCCTATACTTTTTAATATCCTATTTGATGTTCTACCTTTGTGATTCATTTATGGTCTTG